ACGTTACAGTCCAAAGCCACAACCACGACTTGGAGGTTGCTCTAATAGAAGTAAGTCTACTTAGTGTCCCCTCTGGCCCATATCTGCCCATATCATCCTAATCAGTCATAGTCCCCGTAATCAATCTTGCAAAACCTTACTTGACGCATCGAAAGAGTATCCAAGCACACCTGAAGTCCCATGTCGCGGAAGGGTGTCAGACCCCCAGCTTCCCAGCAGCGATATCTGCTGAGACTTGGCGCGGTGGAAGGGTTTATGGTTTTGGGTTTAGGGCTAGGGGTTTGGTTGGATGAGGGTTCTGGTTTTGGGTATAGGGGTAAGATTTGACGAGGGTGCAAAGTTTAGGTTTTGGATTTCCGGCTTCTGGGGATAAGGTTTCACTGGAGTTCGCGGTTGGTTCGGGCAGGAGCACAAATCCTTCCTCCCGCTTATTCGTGTTGCTCTCCAGACCGCAAATTCGCCAGAATCAACCTGGACCCTAGTTCCCTTAGGGTTTAGGGTTTAGGGTTCACGGTTTAGGGCTTTAGGGCTTTTAGGGTTTAGGGTTTCGGGTTTGGGGGTAGGGCTTTTGATATTTCAGGTGAAGGAAGTGGATGAAGAACATAGGTGTTCCTGATAGTGCAATGCGCAAAAGGTAGGGACATAACCCAAGTCGTTTGGAATAAGTCCAGCCTTAGACATGTGAGTCTTACAACATATAGACTTTAGATGCAGCGAAGGTTTTGGGAGGCCAAATGCCAGCGCCAGGGATTGTCGGGTCAATATACTTATTGTTGTATGTCTATCCATCCATCCATCCATCCATCCATCCATCCATCCATCCATCTATCTATCTTTCTTTCTGTCTGTGTATATATATATAATATGTTTATATTCCAGAACATGCGCTTGTGGCTTCATTCTTTTACAAGCAGCTTGGAGCATCAATTGCGCATTGCCTGTCGCTACCGAAACCATGAGTTTAGCGTTTTGGGATTGCGTGGTTGGGATCGTACAACATGATACGTTCAGAGGAGTTTCTACTCGGCACCACTACTTGTTGATTATAGAGTATTCGAGACAACTCTTCGTTAGACCGTTGATTCGTTGATGTTTGTGTCTGAGAGCTTTACGGCTTATATATTTCAGTCTGCCAGTTTGTGGATAGCCTGCCACCGTTTTGCGGCTGCTAAGCCCTAAACCCTAGACCCGTGCAAACTCTACCTCGCCTATCGCTTCGATCCGCAAGCAAGTATGTTCTAGCAGGAATCTTATAAATGGGGCGGTCGGGCTTCCAGCCAGACTTGGCAAAGCTATCTCCAACACAGTTTAGGGTTTAGGGTTAGGGTTTCGGGTTCTTGCTCTGGCAGAACTCACGTTTCGGAGTTTTGAATGTTGCGTTTCCTGTTGAGGCAAAAGCGCCTCCGCTGCAGCATTGAGCAGTGGGCTCGAACTCGGGGTTTCATTTGCAGCTTAAGTTAGGGGTCGGAAAATGAGTAGTGGTACCCCCTTTATGGTATTACCTAGCAGTGTAGCACAATTATATTTAAAGTAGATCCCACAAGTCTTATCACTCAAGACCCCAAAAGGCCATTAGCGCGAACCTCTGAGCTTTGACAAGGTACAACCCATGCGCCACGAACTTCGACCCAAACTACTGCGTCTTGGTCGTGGAATTTGGACTTGGTCCTTCGATTTTGGACTTGCTTGGAGGGTCGGGGGACTTAGTAACTACTTATTTGTTAGAGTTATAAGTAGCATAATCCCAATTAGGATGCGTTTTAAGATACTTATAAGTCTACTTATTAGCCACTTACTATACATACGTTGAGATTACAATTTGCACTGCGGTCGCTCCAGCGCCGAACAGTCTCACAGTCTCAGCGCTATCCTACACAAACCTGTAGCCTGACGCTAAACCCTAAACTCAAAACCGTGTTTAGGGCTTACTTGGAGGCCCAGGGGACTTAGTAAGTAGGTTATATAAGTAGAGTTATAAGTACCCTAACTGGAGTTACCCCAATTATAACCCTACTTATAATCGACTTACTAAGTCCCCTGGGCCTCCAAGTAGGGCCCAGGGTTTAAGATAGACTCAGAGTGCTGTAGCTCAACATAAGCAGAGGTTCATTCCCACACAGTTTCACATGAGTGTTTGAGACTGGCACATGTGGTTTCTGATCAACTTATGCCGCGCTCCGGGAGCTCAAAAACTGGGTTGCTAGCCAAACAATATGTAACTCAGAGGCCTAGGCAACTGGAGCCGTAGAGATGTTTGAACCTTCCCTATGGACCGTCTATCTACCCTCTATTAGACTTTGAGTACCTATTATTTGGGACCCTATACCCCCATTCCAGGGTAGACCTCGAATACAGTGGCTTTGTAGCCACTTTCCTTTCGTACATCCGTTCTGTTCTGTGTTGGGGTGCTGGGGTTGCTGCGGGGCCCGCACCAAAGCCCTGAACCTTTGATTTCATCTCTTCAGCCTCACTCCCACGAGACCTGTTCTTCTGTGAGTTCCCTAAATTACCCATAGGCTCCATAGTAGTTCTTTTTGTGGCTTCTGTTTAGGATGCCATTAGGTATTCACAAAAAGGAACTACTAAGGGGCCTATGGGTAACCCTATAAAGCCTAAACCCTAAACCGCTTGAGCCAAGGTCAATCTCAGTTCAATAACCAGGCTTTGCTGTCTTCCTGGGGGATCCTGGGGTCCAGGGCGGGCTTTACGGAGGTTATTGGGCTCAGGCCGTTGAGGTTTCCTGGCTTGGGCGTTCAGGTTTGTGGTGTCCAGCAGCCTTTATGGTCTACTTGGAGGGTCGGGGGACTTGGTAAGTGGGTAATAAGTAGAATAAGTAGACTTATAAGTACCCTAGTAGGGATCCTAATTGGGGTTATCAGACTTATAACTCTATAAAGTAACTACTTACTAAGTCCCCCGACCCTCCAACTAGTAGTGGTGTAGTTTTGGGCAGAGGGTTTCGTGGACCAGTCAGTATCTAGGGGGCTCGATTGTAGCGCACATCTTTATCTATCAGTGGTGCTAGATAGGGCTCGGAATAATGAGTACTCGTACTAGTATTCCTGCATAGTCCCAAATACTCTAAACCCTAAACCCCAAAACCCTGAACCCTAAACCCTAAACCCTGAACCCTAAACCCTAAACTGCACCTCAAAGCCATCAGGCTTTCGCCCTCGTCACCCCAAAAACCCCAGAACTATAGTCGGACCCGGACCGGAAAACCTAGCTTTTTTAAGGGCTCCTAGGGTTTAGTGTTTTTAGGTTTTTGGGGGGTTTTGGGGGGTTTGGTGTTTAGGGTTTAGGATTTAGGATTTAAGGCTTAGGGTTTAGGGTTTAGGGTTTAGGCTAAAGGGTATATCAAGAAGGAAATCATAGAAAGAAACCATAATAAGGAGCGCTAGAAAGGTAGGTTGTGCGGGATTGCCCGAACGAGTTGGTGGACCCCTGGGGCTCCTGGGTTTTGGGGGCTTACTGGAAGATGGAGAGCGGGTAAGTCGGTATTTTAGGGTGTAGGGTGTAGGGTGTAGGGACTCCGAAGGGTCCAAGGAGTCGTAAATGTTCGGGCTTTGCGGCCTTTTCTTGGGGTACCCACGGGGTCCCGCATGTACTGCCATTAACTGTGCCCTAAACCCTAAACCCTTAAACCGTGTGGAGTTGGGTCCTGAAAGACAATTTCCGCTTTGGGACAAGACTCGCAGGTTTCCCGGGCTGTTCGATCTTAGATGTTTTGGCTTTAGGGTTTGGGGTTTAGGGTTTAGGGTTTAGGGTTCAGGGTTACGGTTTAGGTTAGGATTACAGAAGTTGGGCCGGTAGGCTTGTGCAGAATGCCGGCTTGTTTCTATCTTAGACTTGAGAGTTTAGGGTTTAGGGTTCAAGGGAGGGTGTAGGGCCAACTATCTACATGGCAGTTTTTGTTAAATGTGCACTGTTTCTGGACCCCCTTCCACTTGAAGTGCCAGAAAACTACAGGGAGAGTTGTTTTAGGCACAAGTTGCAAATCAGGTTTAACACAAGTAAAGCTCAGCAACAGGAAAAGTTGTAATGTAGTTGCCTGAAGAATTACCCATACTATTTTGGTGTTCTTTATAATGCTAATATAATGGCCCCCCCCAAAACCCTATTCTAATTATTATTAACCCTACATTACTTCATATTGAACCCAGTCCTGGCCCTGACCCAGTCTTGATTGAATTGGGGGGGTGGGGCGGTTCCATGTTATCCGTACTTGGAGGCCCAGGGGACTTAGCAAGTCGGTTATAAGTAGGGTAGGGTTATAATTGGGGTATCTCCGGGTATTTATATCTCTACTTATAACCTACTTACTAAGTCCCCTGGGCCTCCAAGTGATGTTTACTCACTCAGTCAATGTTTATGCAGTGCTATGTCAGGGATAGGAGGTGCTGCTAAGGATTGGGATGTGTCACACTTAAATCAATGCAACCCTCATGTCAAATCTGAAGCAGCCGCCCTGTGAGGTAGTCTTCTTTCTTCACGCCCTCTCCGTTGCAAAGGGTGCCGGTCTTATCTGGGAGTTTTCTGGATGACGGTAACCCCCGGCTGAGGTGAAGGATTTTGGGCTTGGTGTTTCGGGTGTAGGGTGTTGTTTTTCTTCTACCCAAATTCGCCTCACTGCAAATGTTCAGACCTGCTTGTGAAGTGCAAGAACACCAGAAAGATCTGCGGACCTCCTGTACAAGCTTGACGCTCTTCGCCCCAAGTCCACAACCCCAAAAACTCAAAACCACCCACAAACCCAAATGCACAACCCCAAACCCTCCACAACCCGAGCCCGAAACCCCTTAAAACCCTAAGCCCCTAAACCCCTAAACCCCTAAGCCCTAAACCCCTAAACTCCTAAACCCCGAAAGCCCTAAACCCTAAACCCCCAAAACCCCTAAACCCTAAACCCCTGAACCATAAACCCGAAGACCGAGCCGAAGCCACCAAAGTGTTTAGAGAGCCAGCGAGGTCTGGGAAGGAGGCTCGTCCTGCCACCCTTCATGTGGACACTCGGCTTGCTTTGGGATTTGGGGGTTTTAATAGGGCGGTTGGGGGGGTTAGGGTGATTTCGTGGGTTTCGGGCTTATGGGATTAGGGTTGTGGGTCTTTGTTTCGGGTTGTTGGTTCGGGGTTGCGGGGTTTAGAGTTGTCGGTGTGGCTTACTTGTAGGAGTTTGGGGTCTTGATTGAGTCCTGCATTGAGGGTGTCTGATGCGTAGTGCCGCATTCGGTGCAAGGTCATCGGTTCTGTACTTCGGGTCTTCAGTTCTCTCAGTGACGTGTGTCGTGACATTGTATACCCAAAGGCCCCATAGTAGTTCCTTTTGGGGTTACCTTATAGGATTCTATATATGAACCCCCAAAAGGAACTACTTTAGGGCCTATGGGTATAGCGAAGTGTACCTAATCAGTGCCCCCTTCTAATTCAAACTTTGAGATGCCAAAACTCTGAGTCCTGCTTTAAGACTGCAGTTCCCAACAAATAACGCTAAACCCTAAACCCTAATACCTAATTCATGAACCATTTTTAGGAGGGGGAGGTTATGAAATCCCCAAGCCCTGACACCCGAAAGCCCAATTCCCAAAACCGTGAGATCCCTAAACCCTAAACCCTAAACCCCAAATCCTAAACCCTTAACCCTAAACCCTAAACCCTGAACCCTAAACCCTGAACCCTAAACCCTAAACCCTAAACCGTCTCTGGTTCCTTAAACCCTTGGACCCTAGAGCCGACAGCCCCAAAACCTTTAAAGTCCTTTTTGTTGGCTCGTTTAGGGTTTAGGGTTTAGTAACTAGTAATCTTAGGGTTTAGGGTTTAGTGGTTTTAGGGTTTAGGGTTTAGTAATTTGAGGGTTTATGGTTTAGGGTTTAGTGATTTTAGGGTTTAGGGTTTAGTAATTTTAGGGTTTAGGGTTTAGGGTGATTTTAGGTTTTAGGGTTTAGTAATTTTAGGGTTTAGGGTTTAGGGTTCTCAATTCCGCAACCCGAAGCCCTAAACCCTGTTCCCATGATCCAAGGATGGAGAACCAGATGGCCGAGCCGCTTTCCGGGATCATGATGAGCTGGGGTTCAGGGCTTCGGGTCTATACAGGCTGTTGTGTTTGGACTTTAGGGGGACCCTAAACCCTAAACCCTACAGCCTAAAGCCTAAACCTTACAGCCTACCCTAGGCTTAAGGGGTTGTAGACCTGCAGCTATGCAGGAAACCCTAAACCCTAAACCCTAAATCCAGGCTGAAAAGGTTCGGGGAGGAGTCTAAAAGGCTTCAGCAGGCCGCCAGCCCTCGAGTTGCTGAAGGGTTTAGGGTTTAGGGTTTAGGGTTTAGGTGGTGGTGGTGGTGGTGGTGGTGGTGGTGGTGGTGATGGTGGTGGTTCAGGGATTAGAGGGGGTTCAGATTGAGGTGGTTCTTTTGAGTTCTTTAAACTCCAAGCCTTTCAAGATATGGTTCCCTCGGATTCTGTATTGAAGTAATAACAGTCTATGTTAGCTTCCAGAAAAATAATTCTTGCAATGAAAACGGACCCTCTACCGTACTAAGAACTTTGGAGATATCTGCATAGAGCTCTCGCAGCGACAGTTGGCCTGGACCCACCCATTTGGGAGCAAACCAAAAAAGGCAGCTGCCACGCCAACCGAAGCAGGAGAGGATTCGGATCGGATCAGTCCGGGGAATACGTCCCTAAACCCAATGCAACGTTCCAGGGTTTACCGTGAACAGTGATGCCACAGCGCACCGAGCAATTTGATCTTCAATCGCGGCAGAATTGCAAGCAATGGGCGCCATAGAGAACTTGACGAGCCTGGCGTACATGGACGATCTCGTGCTGATCATTTGGTTGGCCCGAGAATTTCGAAGTCGACAGGGGCTCGGACGTCTCCCCTTTGGTCAAGGAGCTGAGGCGAGCGGCTGCTTTGTTCTTAGAAGCCCTAAAGCCCTAAACCCTAAAGCCCTAAAAAGCCCTAAACCCCGAAGCCTAAACCCTGAAGCCCTGAAGAGCGTTTCGGACTCCAAACAGATTTGGTCGAAAGCCTGGCTGGAGCGGAGAGCTTCACTAGGTGGCAATTTGGGAAGCTTTAAAAATTTCCCTTAGGGTTTCTATAGATGTACCTATTCATAAAAAATTTTCAGGGCCCCAAAACTACAACCCAGTTCATCTTTTTGAACCGGCTCTTCATCGGACCCGACGAGACTCCTTCCTTCACGAAGATAGCCACAAGACCAAAAATGAGCATCTCAGAGCCCTTCTGCGGGTCTATGAGCTTGTTGCGTAGAGTAGAACAAAAAACCCTATACCCTAAACCCTAAACCCTAAACCCTAAGCCCTAAACCCTAAACCCTAAACCCTAAACCCTAAACCCTAAACCCCTAAACCCTAAACCCTGGTTCCTAAACATGAAGCCCAATACCAAAGCCTGCGCGCGCTCGGAGGCCCTTCGACCTTCCCACCCCGAAGACCCGGAGCAAAAAAAAAAACGGTTTAGGGTTTAG